TTGGTTGCTGTTGTTTCCTTTTGGCGCTTTTAAATTTGATGCAGTCACATTTGACTATTTTTGCGTTTGTTGACTGTGTTTTTGGTGTCATAGTCAAGAAATCATTGACAAACCCAATGTCCTGAAGATTCCCTTCTATGTTTTCTTCTAGTTTTATGGTTTTAGGTCTTAAATCTATTTTGAGTTAATTTTTGTATATGGTATAAGGTGACTCAAACTTCATTCTTTTTATATGGACATCCAATTTTCCCAATACCATTTGCTGAAGAGACTGTCCTTTGCCTATTGTGTAGTCTTGGCACCTTTGTTGACAATCACTTGACAGTATATGCAAGAGTTTATTTCTGGGCTCTCTATTTTGATCCATTAGTCTATATCTCTGTCTTGATTATTATAGCTTTATAGTAGTGTCTGGAAATCAGGAAGTGTGAGGCCTTCAACTTTGTTCTTTTTCAAGATTGTTTTGGCTATTTGGTATTTCGAGATTCCACATACATTCTAGGATTTTTTTTTATGTCTTCTGACAAATGTCATTGGGATTTTGATAGAAATTACAAAGAATTGGTAGATAGTTTTGGGTAGCATGGACATTTTAACAATATTGAATTTTTCAATCTACAAACACAGCATGTCTTTTAAAAAAAAATCTCTGCAACATTTATTGTTCTATCAGGATGCCTTTTCATTTCTTTGTATTGTCTTTTAGCAATTTTCAGTGTACAACTCGTATTTTACCACCCCCCCCCCTTTTTTTTAAATCCTCACCTGAGGATGTCTTTATTGATTTTAGAGAGAAAGAGAAACATCAATCGGTTGCTTCCTGCATGTGCCCTGACTGGGGATTGAGTGTGCAACCGCCCATTGTGCCCTGACCACCGGGGATTGAACCAGCAACCTCTTGGTGCATGGGAAGACACTCAACCAACTGAGCCACATAGGTCAGGGCTCTTGCATGTCTTTTCTATCTTTTAATTTACTGAGGTATAATTTACATGCAATAAAATGCACCCATTTTGCCTCGGCCATTGTAGCACAGTTGGTTGAGCATCGTCTTGTGCACGGAAGGTTGCTGGTTCAATTCCAGGTCAGGGCACATAGCCAGGTTGTGAATTCCATCCCCAGTTGGCATGCATATGGGAAGAAATTGATTGATGTTTCTCTCTCTTTCTGTCTAAAATCAATAAAAACATATTTTAAAAAATGCATCCATTTTGTGTACATTTCAATGCATTTGAACAAATCAATATATTTGAGTAACCATCATATCAAAATATGGAACAACAGTCCATAAATGGCGTAGGAAATAATGCCATTGTGCATTGTGTCAAGGATTCTTCACATATTCTAATAACTAGGCATGGTGCTGGGTGGGTGCAAGACTTATTGGGGTGTTCACTTAAGTTACATAATAGAAAATAAAAATAACTTAAAAAATTATTTTAGATAAAAAATCTAAAGGAATTATTCTCAACTACAGTCATAAAAATGTTCCAAATTATTAAGTAAGGCAAAATCCACATTTTAAATAAAGTAACTTGCCTTAAAAAAAACCAAAAAAACAACAGTTCCAATTCTTCTACATCCTCGTCAACACATTATTTATTCTTCTATTTATTGTTTAAAGTATTACATGTCTCCTTTTCCCCCTGATTAACCTCCCTACGGGGAGTGGGCCTAAGCCACAGTCTGGCAGCAGAGGCTCAGAGCAGGCACCCCGTGTGTGTGTGTGTGTGTGTGTGTGTGTGTGTCTCTGTGTGTGTGTGTGTGTGAGTATATGTGTCCCCTCTGGGGGTCTGACTGCAGTGGCATCGGCGGCTCGGATCAGGTGCCCCGTGTGTGTGTATGTGTGTATGTCCACTGGGGGCCTGGCCCCAGCCACACTGTGGAGGCTTAGAGCAGGAG